CAGTGGAAGTCCTTCCCCTTGAGTTGGACTTGCCCGCCTGGTCCCCCAATATTTCCAAATTATCTCTTGTCTCTTCTCTTTCATTTGTGTGCGGCTCCGCTTCCAGGTCCTGAACCCTGAACCACACGGGACATGGAGGAAAACACACTCAACAATTCCCCTTATGTTTTCTCCTTTGATTCTAATGTAAAAAAATAAGCTGTAAAACTGCCATTCTCAAGAGCATTTTTTCAATCCATTGAGACTTTGCTTCCTAGCAATTATCATCAGTTTGGCTCAAATAAACTCATAAAAATTTTCTACAGGTTTGGACATTTCTTATATCAACATTTCATTTTTACAGAAGAATATCAGAGATTAAAAAAGATCAAATAAATTGGGTTAATTTTTCAGGACCAGAGTGAAACTGTAATAATAGAATTAGTGACAATTAGACAGTGGCAGTGTGATCAGAAAGTTAGATTAAGAGCCATCCTTTAAAAGTTACCAACTGTGTGAGGTTTGTAAAGTTCTGAAACTCAGCAATCCTGAGTTTTATTGACTATCAAATGGAGATGGTTATAATTACCTCACCAAAATTTTATGAATGTAAAAATAATATGAAGAAAACAGTAGGGGTGTGGTACCTATTATGTGATCAATGAATTGTAGTTCATATTACTATTACCACTCTTCCTTTTGCACATACACTAGTGTGTCTTTTCTCCACATTAAAAAAAAATGCATGTCAGGATTCTTATTATGGAATCCCCCTCCCCCCCAGTACTGGGGTTTAATCAGATATGTCAAGAGGAAAGGCTCTTGGCTTTGACAATGGCATAGCAGGACAACATTTCTGAAAACCTTCAGCAGAAATATCTATATCTAAATGGGCAAGAGTAAATTCTCATTTTATTTTTAAAATTCTAAAAAGTACAAGAGTTAAGAGTCACACTGAATGTTAAACATCTGAGAATCTAGGACATCCTGAACTTGCTTTCTTCCAAAGATGTTCATGGAAGTACTCACATTGGACCAAGTTAAAAGAGACTTAGCAGCAAGGTTCTTAGACCCAATGGCAGCAAGGCGAAAGCCATATAAGCTTAGTGGATAAACAGTCCTAGGTCTGTGACTTTCACTGAACCCATTAACCCCTTGGGGGCTGGCAAGAGCAAAACCTCTGCCAGTGGGTTTAGTGTTGCTGGGGAAACGTGGAATATATCTGAGTTTCTTCCCTTTTAAGAAAATGTCAACAGTAGGCATTGTGTCCAACATATTTGAAAGGAGAACTGTTGTCTCCTACCCTGGCTGTCTAGAAGAAAGATTTTCACATGTTTCTGAAACACAAAAAGCTGATAGGGTAGTACTTTGAACACTTAATGCCACAGTGTTTCTTATTTTGCGCTAATTAATTAATATTGACAAGCCAACAGACAGGTGAGACTGAAGTAAACAGAAGTTGGATATCCAATGAAAGAGAACCATCTTTTAACTTCAGTGAATCATGCCCTCAGAGTAAAAATTTCAAACATAACAGCCCAGAGAAAACAACAGGAGAATCTGAAAGTAGTATTGTTTTGATATTCTGAAGAGGTTTCTCAGGTACAATTGGCAGCCTTGGAATGAGAGACATTCAATTACTTTCCCAGATCTTAGTATATTCATTTATCTTAAAAAAGAACAGAATTTTTAAAATTAAACCTTTGCTCTTCTGTAATAATCTTATTTCCTTATACACTCCTTGCTCCAGCTACTGCTTCAGGTATTATCACCCTATAATTCATTTGCATATTGCCTCCTTAATATGTTCACTAATATAATACCTTGTGCTATTATTTAATTAAAGAATAATTGAATAATTATAGGACATTGACATCATAAAACACTCAGATAAATGAGCTGTTCACTTTCAAATGAAAAGCATTTGGACTCAGCTATGTAACGAAAAGTAATCTCTTCCAGTGAGAATATCACAGGCTTATGAATGATAGTTATCTTCAAAAATGACCTAAACACATTTGAGTTTGAAAGATTAGAAACATCCTGAATCTTTCTCATTTACAGAGGAACAGAAATTCTTAATTATAAAGATAATTTAAGTGAGCCCTGTTGACTTAAGATCTCTTACATGTTTTAAAAAGGACAAAGCAGCCCTCGCTGGTTTGGTTCAGTGGAAGCAGGGACTACAGAGGCAGACAATAAAATTACAAGAATTAGGTTAGCAGACACCAGCAATGGCTTATTATTTTACTATCCGCATTTAACAGAAGAGGATGTTGAATGTACCAATAGAGGTATTGAATGAGTTGCCCAAGATCCCACATCTAGAAAGTTGATGAGCTGATATCAAACCCTGACAGTATGACTCCAAAATTCAGACTCAACCATTCTATTAATTTGAAAATATCACAATAAACTTTTTTAAACTGCCTAAAAATATATTGGATGGCTAGTGAAAAGATTTATGCAAGCTTAAAAAGTATTTGGCCCTCTCAATTATGTTGTGTACTTAAAAGAGGAGCTAAAAGAAATCCGAAAGGCTTCCTTCTCAAAATTAAAGAAAAAGAAAGTTGTGCAGATTTCACTCAGTCCAATTAAAATATATTTATTTAACAGATGTATTTTTAGAAGCTACCACATGCCACACACTACGTACCTGAGATATAGTAGAAAAATATGCAAAAATCATTGCCCTTGTAAAGTTACATTCTATTGGAGAAAGGCAGATATTATAATTAATTAGAAGGTAGTTCATTCTCTACAGGAAAGAAAAATAGCAGGGAAGGGCAATGAGGAATTGCATTGTAAATAGGGTAGTCTGGTAACTCTTTACAAAATATGCCATTTGAGCAAAATCTTAAAGGAAAGCCTTACAAGCACTGGGAGGAAGATTGTATCAGGTAGAGAAACATTAAGACAAAGCACTGATGGCAGAGAATGGCTGACATGTTCCAGGAGCTGGGAGGCCAGCATAGAAGGAGCAGAACTAGTGAGGGGCACAACTGGAATAGATGGGACCAGCGAGATACTAGGGAGACAGATTTTGTAGGGCCTTCTAGACCATGGAAAAAGGCTTTGGTTTTTATTCTAAATGAGATGAAGAGGCATCAGAGGTTTTTGAACAAAAGAGACACATAATTAAATTTACATTTAATAGTACTACTCCAGCTCCTCTATTGAGAATAGACTACAAGGTGGCAAGATAGAAATTGAGGAAAGTAGGAAGCAAATGGCGGTGCTATCAAGAGATGAAGAGAGTGGGCCCATGGTGCTGGCAGTGAAAGTGGTACAATTTAAGATATATTTTAAAGGTAAAGATGAGAGAATTTGCCAGTGAATTCAATGTGAACTATGAGAGAGGTTTTTTTTTCAACATATTGAGTTTGAGATGTCTATTAGACATCCAAGAGGAGATATGAAGAAGGCATCTGAATACAAGATGTGTAAATGTAGGTTTAAAATTGTGAGTACATGAAACTGAATTTATTCTTGTATTATTATTTATTAATAATTGCATTATTTATTTGTATTATAACTCTAAACCTACTTTTGCCCACCCCTGCATATGAATCTGGCATTCAGAAGAAGGTCAGGTGAGAGATAAAATTTTGGGAGTCATCATTACATGAATATTATTTAAAATCACAGCAATCAAAGGAATCAATCTTGGGACATTCTAAATAAATTTAGAGGAAGAAGTACCATGAAAGGAGAATGCAAAGAAGGAACCAGTTTTTAGTATAAAACCAGGGATATGAACCATTAAAAAAAAACAAAACAACTAAAAGTTTAAGTAAGATAATGACTGAGCATTAACTGTTGAATTTATCAACATGTAGGCATTTGGTTATACTGGTAAAACTGCAGTGGTGGGAATGAAATCTTCATTGTAGTTGATTTCAGGATGTCTAGGAAGAAAGGATCAGTGGTAATGAGTTTTGATTACTTTTTGAGCATTTTGCTATAAGGACAAAGAGTGAAATTGAAATAGTAGCTACAATGGATTTGGGATCAGGACAACTATTGTTAAGATATGATAAATATTGGCTCTTTTGAATGTTAATGGGCAAGATCAAGGAAAAAGAGAAGCTTGCTGGTAGAGAGAAGATAGAGGAAAATTGTTCAAACAAAATCCTTGAGTAAGAAAGGGGAATGGGATTTGGAATAAGTGGAGAATTTATCCTTAAAGGGTAATAGAGAGAGTTGCTCATAACAGAAGGGAAGCCAGAATGTGTAGGTACAGATGTCAGGAGGACAGTAGATGTGGTGCTGAGCACTCATTGGTTTGAATTTTCCCAGCAAGGTAGAAAGCAAAGACACCTCTGAGAGGAAGAGAATTATTTGACCTCAATGTATAAATTGACATTTTTTGTTTTCCTTGTATTCCCACCACAGTTTAGCTGGGAGTTTATTCCTATACTTGTGTTTTGTTTTGTTTTGTTTTGTTTTCACCCACTCCAGTTTGAAATCCCTTTAACATCTCTCTGAATGACTTGAATGCATTAGGTTTTTGGTAGTAAATATCCTCACTGGAACCACAATGGCTCAGAAGCTCCAGCAATGCTGGAATTTCTCCATAAGCACCAGGAAACCCTCTTAAATCTCTGACTCTGCATTCGTTTCAATAGTTGCAATTCCCAGCAGGGCTTGAACACTGGAGTGTCTGACAACAGCTGCTTAAGGTGAACATAACAAAGGAGGAAGAAAAATAGAAAAATAACATTAGGGGAAGCATTGTCTCTCAATAGGAGGTGTCCCTTCCAATAAGTCTCTCTCTCTTCTCTCTCTCCTCTCTCTCTCTCTCTCCCTCTCCAGTGTTTGTTAGTCAAGTTGGCAGGAATACCAAACATTAAAATTTGAGAAAGACCCTGTTTTATTTAATCACAGTATTAACAGTGTAGGGTTTAACCCCTCTGACCCCAGAGGCAACTGCTGCCACCAATGGAAATGATCCAGTTTTAACATTTTTCAAGAAGTGACCATACGGATAGATAGATACTCATAATAAATTTCAGAAGTAAATGTAGCCACTGTTTCCTATGAAATAAATGAAAAAAGTTTCCCTTATTACTGAAGAGTTTGAAATAACAGTGGACATCTGGGACCTCAATTTAAGAAAAGCAAGCATATTTTCTTGGCTTACAAACCAGTCCTTTTGGTAGCAGCAAAACTGAAAGATCATTTCCTATGCTTTTTTACAATATATTTTTATTGATTTCAGAGAGGAAGGGAGAGGGAGACAGAGATAGAAACATCAATGATGAGAGAGAATCTGTGATCGGCTGCCTCCTGCATGTCCCCTACTGGGGATCGAGCTCATAACAACCCTGAGCATGTGCCCTTTACCAGAATTGAACCCAGGACCCTTCAGTCTGCAGGCCAACCCTCTATCCACTGAGCCAAACCAGCTAGGGCTCCTATTTTATTTTCCTTTAAAATAATATTTGGTTTGGTCCTGTGTGGCACATTTGGTGGGGCATCGTCACCTCTTGCACCAAAAGGATTCCTGTCAGGGCACATGCCCGGGTTTTAGGCTCGATCCCCAGTGGCAGTGGGGGGGGGTGGGGGTGGGGGGGGCATGCAGGACACAGCCCATCAATGTTTCCCTCTCATATTGATGTTTCTCTCTCAAAATCAATAGAGACATTTTTAAAAAATGATTTGATTTGGGATGGGGGTGATGGGAGTGACTCTGGCCCAAGGCTTTAACTGCAAACCTCTATTATGATCCATGTTCTGCTAACAATTTGGTCTAAGGAGAAAAATAGTATGCATCTTCACCACTGACAGCTATAAAGAAGTGAAATGTATCAGTTAAATTCCCCTCTATTACCTCCATACATATGCATATTTTTAAATGATTGCCCTAGTAATAGGAGCATGGGAAATACTCTAATCCCATCACTATTCATTTTTCACCATTTTTTTTAGTTTAATCACTGCATATAGACATGGATGACTGATTATGACATTATAATTAAGTATTCAATCTATACACATTAATGATAAAGAAGGTACAACTTGACTTATATTGGCCCATTACTTATCTTTAACTTTATACTACTGGCATTTTTTTAAAGTTCAAATAAGTAATATTTTTTAAAAAACATTGAAATTTTACTCCACAGTGAGTTGAGTCAAAAGGAGAAAAGCACTTTTACATTTTCATAAAACATGTATGAATCATGAATGACCTTTCAAAAAATGTGTTTTAAATATCTACTCTCAGAGTCTCTTTTGGCTATGATCAAAGAGCAGAAAACTATCTAAATGAACTTAATTGTAATTTGAAGAATTTTAATAATTCCATTTAATTGCAAATAGCTATTGTCTGCCATCTGGATAAATTTGTCATTATTTTGATGTAGTACATACTATATATATATATATATATGACTCCGGGGTTCACCGAGATTATTTTATTATCTGTATGGGTTCTAATACATGAATCAAAACTCTTTCCTATAAATCCCATTTGTAACACATAGTTTCAATACCTGTTTATATAACTATTTTGTAAAACATTGGATTGGCTTGAATCACCAGTAAGATATTTGGTGTCATAGTCATTACATTTTTTCTTTTCAAACAACCCTCTGTTTTTATTTTTGTTTTTTGTTTTCTTTCACAGATTTCGTTGCAGTATCTGACTGTTGAATGTGTTATGCCTGTTGGACTCCAGGTTTCTGGGAGGATTTAATAAAAAAGATTAAGAAAAATATCATTTCAAGTGACTTAATACAACTCCCTTGAGTAGTGTTTCTAAATGTTCTTAGCAAACTAATATACAAGTATTTTCAATACATTATAATTTCTCATAAGTTTTTAATCCTCCTTCCACAGTTAGCATTTTTTGTTTTAATTAATTTTTCTCTACCATCAATCATTTACTCTTCTAACTCTTCTTTCTTTAAATCTACACTAATAAAAGACAAAGATGCTAATTGACCATACCTTTGCTACGTCCACCAGACAATCAGAGCGACCATATGCAAATTAACCCAACTGAGATGGCGGTTAATTTGCATATACCGGCTGGGAGTGAAGACTGAAGACAACGTGAAAGCAAAGCGCTGCAGAAGGGAGCAAAGTAGAGGTGGCAGAGACAGGAAAGGAGCCAAGGAGGTGGAGGCGGGAGGCAGGAGGGAAACAAGCCGGGGGGGCGGAGCAGGAGGGAAACGAGCTGGGGGGCGGAGCGGGAGCGAAGCCTGCCTCGGCGGGTTTCGCTCCCTTCTCTGCTTCGCTCCAGCCGCAGGAATCCCTATTCTTGCAGGAATCTTCCTGCAACGGGCCTCTAGTGATTTCTATAAATCAAAATATATGTTCAATAGCTCATTCCTAGCTCTTGTTAATCTATCTTTTCCCATTTTTTTCATGTAGATCATGTTGTCTTGTTCATTTTTTCATTTAGGTTCCTTTTCTACCTATTATTTGTCTTATGTTTTTTCTCTTTGATTCTCAGTCAATATGGAGAAGAAAAAGAGAGAAAGAAAGATAACATTTTGAACTCATTCAATCAGTGAGGCACTGTGCTAGGTGCTTTATAGCTATTGTGCAATTTCATTTTCATAGCAAATATATGAAGTATACAGTATATATCTGTAATATATATATATATGTAATATATATATCTGTAATATATATATCTGTAATATATATATATCTGTAATATATATATATATATACTTTCAAGGACCAAAAAACTTAATCTCAAAAATATAACTTACCCAAGTTACACATTAAGTGGATAAAATAGAATTCAAACCACATATTATCAAAATCTGTTCCTCTCATTTTGCCACTTTCCTACCACTATCACCAGAAAGAATTTAAGTAACAAACCATTTGTCCTGAATATTTCTTGTCCTAGGTCCCCGCTTATTGAGAAACACTAGGATCTCCTCATCCAAATGCTGCTACTGCCAGGCAGCTTATGCTCAGAGTCTAGGTATGAAAGTGATATCCCTGCAGGTGATGGTGACTAGCCTTCTTCTAGTCAATGGCAAAGAAATGCTTTTCTCTTTTTACTTTATTTTATTTATTTATTTATTTACTTTTCCAAGTGAATGTCCAAAGGATGCTGCTCATGCCCTAGCATTGTTATAGAGGCTTTTTAGTGAAACATGTTTTATAGTACATACAACTAAAACATAAGCCCATAGATATCTGGACCACAAAACAAATCTGAGTGATCTTCACTGTACTAGAAACCAGGATTTCATATGGGTCATACTTGTTCACTTGACTTTCCTTCTCTTAATGTGTGTTTTCTTCTAACAGACACCTCAGTTCCTCAGTAAATGTGCTTTGGATAAGATGCATATCTCATATTTATAATTTAAAATAAAATTATTAATCATATTTTATTTAAATATTCTCTGACAACTGCAGTTTTAAATCATAAAATGAGGAACTATGGTTCTTAGCCATGATAAATATCTAGTATATCTAGAAACGGGTGTTAATAAATTAAATACATTTCTTTTGAAGACCAAAAGCCACTCATCAATGAATCTAGGCCTATTCTGTATAAGAAATACATGAATACGCTCTCTTCCCTCAGAGATAGAAATATAAACCACTCAGGACCTTGTTATTCTGTTACTTTCTTGGTGCATAAAACCCTGAAGAACAGCTCAAGGGTAAAGCAATCAACTGAACTTTAAGAAAAAGTAATACCATATGTTTGCTGCATACTGTAAATATTGGGTAGTATATATTTTTTTAATTAAGTCATTGATTCCACAGCTGATTTATGTGTGTTCTAATAAAAAAGAAATTAAGTAATCCTGTGCAAGAAATTATCATCAATTAATATATGTAGTATGGTTGTCCATATTTAAGAATAATCAGCATAATTTCAAAAAATAAACCTTAATATCAAATATGTAAATAGTGATGGGACAATGGTGTTAAAAGGTCGTAGGAATTCAAGACATCCAAATACAACTATACTTAGACAAAAGCATTGTGCTTCTCAACTTACTTCTTTCATTTGATGTGTTGAAAGGCCATAATTCACATAATCTCGTACTGCTTTTCCACAACATGTTTCCTACAGTTCTCTGCAACTAAGGATTATGCCTTTGTATTCCATTCACAGACCACAGGACATGAACACATAGCTATTCCTTTCATCTGAAACCAATACATGTCAGTACATATGGAGAACCCAGCATGAGAGCTGGTGGAGACAAACAGCATTGTGGTTTCATATGTGCTCTTAGAACCAAAGATATGCTGCTGTGTTATTAAATTAGTAAGACATTTCCCACACATTTTAAAGCAACTTTTCAGATATTATCTTATGAATTAAGTGTCCTAAATATATCTCAGCATAGCCCTGGTCAGGTGCCTTAGTTATTGGAGTGTCATCCCATACACCAAAATGTTGTGGGTTTGATTCCCAGTCAGGGCACATACCTAACTTGCAGGTTGGATCCCCAATCAGGGCATTGTATGTGAGGCAACCAATCAATATTTCCCTTTCACATTGTTGTAACTCTCTCTCTCTCCCTTTTTCTCTGTCTCAAATCAATAAAAACATACCTTCTGATGAGGGTTAAAAAAATTCTTAGCATATCTTCTTCCTTCAGGGTTGTCAGAACTCATAGTGCCTATTAGAATGAATGTAAGATTATAAGAATTAATAAGTAAAGAGAGAGGATAAGGTCACTGCCAACCTCTCAGAGAATGCCCCAGATGAGAGTGAAATAACTCATCTTGTCATAGGAAAGAGTTAAGGTGCTTTGACTCTATCATGGTAGAATTTATGAGGAATAATACTGGGAGGGGCATTGTGATAATGTCAGGGTATCACTCAAATATCCTCATATTCATAATACAGGGAAACTTTCATAGGTTCACTCATTTTTTCATTAATAATTTCATTTATTTATTCATTTACTCATTCATTTTTATTGTGAATCCATTGTCTTAGTAAATCACAAAACAAACCATATTGTTTAAGATAAAAAAATATATAGGAGTCATTACTGATTCTTTACTTTTTCTCTCTCTCTTCCTTTACCTTCAATTTCCTAGTTTCTACCTGTACTTACTTCAAACATCACCACCTCCTCTAGGGACCTTCAATCATCAGCCTGACCTAAAATAAACTACCACTCCCAGTTTATTTCCATTACATCTTTTTGTTTACATATTTCCTTCTAATTTTTATCACCATCTGTCAGTATTGTGTTTGTTCTTGTTCATGTAGATATTCCCCACAGTATCCTAAATAAAACTTTTAAGTATTATGAGTATTGTATGCATATATTGACTGAATGTTTTTACCAGATGTCTCAAATTCTCAAATTTTTTGAGAGAGGGCTCTAAAGCTGAAATGTTGTTCATTTGGGAGACCAATAAAAGAATAAACCTACTGAGGAGATAGCTCTCTGCCTCCTCAATACTTGGGTCAATGTAAACATAGATGATACCATGTCAAGTTCTAGTAGCTATGCCTTATGTACTTTTGAGTGGTAGCAGCAAATAAGTAGCAATTGCATAATGAAACACCACCTTGTGAATTTAGAGCATTATATATGATGGAATAAGTGAAAGATAATAATAATTAAGGATAAATCATAAACAATCAAGACCCTACTGGGGAAAGACTTAGAAGAAAAGGCATTTCATCACCTTGGGATCTAAGCAAGAGTCATACTTGAGCATAATCAGTTATTCAACAAATACTTATTTAGAATTCACTGTGTGCTATTGTTATATCCCTAATATTTAGCTGATATCATGAGGCATGGTTCCTGCCCTGAAGGAATGCATAAATTTGCTTATAGGATGCATTTTCTTTTGCTCTATTCTCAGCTAATTATAGTGGCTGACATGAGTAAAGGAGGCTGATTTTACCTATGTTACAATCTGTAGAGAACAAACTACATAAACTGTCAATTAAAAGGCTTGTTTCTGACAAAAGAAAATCTCTGATAAGTTTTTGCATACTTACATAGATAGCAGATTCAAAGTAATTTTTGTACATATTCAGTTGGAGCTTTAATTTTACATAACAAGACAGCTTCCCACTGTCAGCAGTACCTCTAAGCAAATATCTTTCTAGATTTGCAAATAGGTTGAGAAGAGAAATGGTGGAGCAGCCCTTTAGAAAAAGCCACTCTCCCAGGGTCCCTTCATCTACTGAGATTTGCTAACCTGCTTTGATCTTGTCCTTGGCATGTGTTTTTTTTTAAATACAAGTTTTATTTTTTGTGCACCTCAGCTGATCATGAGACTGAAAGCTTCTAATAGTTGGAAGAGCTGTAGTAGTTTTACAGACTGTCTCCTTAAAACAAAGGTCTTGATTTGACTGACCTACTGACCTCTAATACAACAGTGAAAATAGCATGGACTTCAGTTGGCAAGCCCAGGTCCTGTTGGTCCTATAAGAGGCAGCAGAAGCATTTCTAATACATGTCTTTGGAGACGCCTATGTCCTCTCCCTACATGCTGGCCGTGTTACTCTTCCTGAAGGATGTGCAGCTGGCCAGGAGGATCTGAGGCCTCCAGAAAGGGTTTGGTTGAGCTTCCATCTGCCTCTGGGTGATACCAGGGACTGTCTGGAGCCAGGACCAGATCCATGGAGTCCCCAGTGCTGCCTGGACTTGCTGTAATTGCTTTTTTTTAAAAAAAGAAGGAGCAGACTGCATCATTTTCAGCTTCAACAAAGGTAATATTTAAGAAAATCAACATGGTTCCAGAGGGGTGAGAATTATTTTCACATGAAGAAACTCCAAGGTTGAAAAACAATAGTGTGATAACAAAGTAATATAGTGGCTTTCTTATGAATCTGTGGCTCTGTTCTTTTGTTGGTAAGGAAATTCAAAATGACCTGTTGCATAGAATGTTACAGGTCATACCTAGAGGTCTGGATAAGACTAGAACCAATGAATTAGAATTTGCTGGAAAGAATGCAAGATTATATTTTGTCCAGGCAAATATATATATTTTAAATATTACTAATATTTAAAAGCAAAGAAATAGCAAACTTGAATAGTCTAGCCCTATATAAAGTCACCTGGGTTCATAGATTGATTTTCAACTTTCAAGGAACCAGTAATTAAGCTGTTGCAGAGCATAGAAAAAAATATTTGAAACATTCCACTTTTGTCATGAAGTTAATTCAATTGTGATGTCAACCCCAGAAGAAAATGAAATTATAGGTGAATTTACTCATGGTTATATAAAGAAGGAAATTATTGTCCCCTATTGAAGAAGAATGGAGACTCTAAATAAATAGAGATCTACCAAAATAAAGTGTAAAATTTAGGAATACAGCTGTACATATACATATAACATAAACACAATGACTCAGCTCCCAATTTGTCATAATCAAAGGGCAATTATATCTACCAATTGTAAAGTAAAAAGTACACACTTGGCAGTCTAATAGGACAAGATGGTGCTTCTAAGCTTTTAATGTACAATAGATCATATTGGGATCTTTTTAAAATACAAACTCAGTAAGGCTAGAGTAGGGCCTGAGACACTGAATATCTTACATGCTCAAAGATTATGCAAATGCTGCTGTCCAGGACCACATAGCAGTTTGATATTTGAGTTACTAACTACTGACTTGGAAAGTAAGAAGATCAGAGGTGGGAGTTTTTGTTGTTGTTGTTGATCTAGGTAAAGAAATTGCTAAATCTTATTGAACACATGTTACAGAAAAAGAGAGTTCAAAAAGATATAATAGGTGGGTCCATTCTTACGGGAAAGAGGTCCTTACCATTGCAAGAAACAGGGTGACAGGTTAGTTTATATCCAGAAAATAAATGCTTTTGAAAATTCCTCCTGTGACTTGTTTGAGTGATTTCCTATAGATATCCTACCTGGATTTCAATTTTGATATGGAAATTTGGGTCAGGATCAGAGACTCAGAAAACCCGCAAATGTATCAAGCATCCTGAGCTGATCATAGTTATTGAAGAGCTGCTTGCTCCAATAACTTGTCAGTAACAGTCATTTTTCTCCCCAAATCTGTGTATGATAACATTCAGCTTTCCTTCCAAAGGGGTTTTGTTTAATGAAGATCTTTTATGATGATTTAGAAAGAGATAAGTTATCGAAATAGAGAAAAATAGACTACTAGTGAATTTGGCTAGCATTTTAATACTAAGAGAACCTGGGTATTCTGTTTTCATGAAGTTATAGGGGGTTAAATTCTCTGTCCAGAACTAATTATCATTCATTTGTTGAATGGAAGTATATAAAGGAATATTCCTTGGATTTGGGGATCCATTCATTTTATTTCAAGAGTCATAGGTATACTTATGCTCTGACTCAAACACTGTCCTCATGTTTTAAAACATGATTTGACAAGAGATTTTTGTTTTGTTTCAGCCTCACTCTGAGATGTTCAGAATCCTCCTTAGAGAGAAAAACATAACAACCCAAGAGATCCTGAGTAAAATCAGACGCTTTGTACAGAATCCTCTTCTATTAAGGGTCATGTTTTCTATGCCTTCTAGGAGCATTCCTGTGCTCTTGTAATTTTTCACTTGCTCTTTTAATAATGCTATTGAGAGACAAAAGCACACACTGTTGTTGCCTGTAAACTCACAAAGACTATCATGGTTTAAAGGCATTCGGAGTGCTTTCCAAGATTTTCAACTTGGCCATTTCACTTACAAAAGATCTCTCAGAACAAAGGCAAGAAGTCTGAGAAAAGAATTCATATCCTCGCTTCCCGTTTATTTTTATCATTTTAGAATTTGATAAGAGGAAATATGTGAAGAGATTCCATCCTTCCAATTTGCTATCCTGAAGAGTATTTTCAGATTTCTCTCTTACCTGGTAAATACTAATCACTCAAAAATAGTGTCTATATCATATTTATTTGCTTTTGTCAGCAAACCAAAAGGCTTCTACTTAGAACAGTAACTAAGAAAATGCCTTCCATGCACTTAAAATGTTTCCACATATTAACCATTTACTTATCAAAACTCCCATAATGTAAAATAATAATAATAATAATAACACATTTTAAATAGATTATCCCACTTTTAGGCATTAGGGGACTAAAGTAATTAATGTTTCAAGGCTGTAGAGGTGAATCATTATCAATGTTGAGGCAAAGCAGAATGCCTGACTCATAATAGGTTTCAAAAACATTTATTGCCTAGATTATGTGTGAATTACTTGAGCACAAATTTATGCTGTAATAGACTTTTTGTTGTGGTGGTGAATTTGCCTCACTCTTAGGAAAGATTTTATTTCCAGGAAGTCTTTAGATGCTCAAGGTAGAAGTTTCTAAGCCTCAGGCTACGTCTCATTTAGGCTTTTCTTTCAGAAAGCCTCTTTCCATGTGTACTTTCATCTTAAACCATGGATTTATATACAAGTTTAATGGAATTTGACATTTTCCCACAATTTCTCTCCTCTGGTTCTTGCA